TCTTTCAAAAGGGCACTTTTTTGGACTGAGGGCAAAAGGGCAAGTGCTTCAGCACCACCTCGTCTCTATCTGTGCACGCCAGTGATTCAAGGGATTGTTTCCTGCTCTGTCCTGTCCTATCGCTTCAGTGCGTGGGGACACATTTGCATATGCAGATGATGACGACTATGACGAGGAGCTTGACCCCGTTTGTCATGCCGTTGGTGGGTAGCAAGCTGGCCCATTCTTCCACACGGGCCCCATTAATTACCCAGCCTGACCTGAAAACATCGAAACCCTCTTTCCCTGCGGAGGTGACCGTCACAATAACGACCTCCACCACAGACCACATGGAACTCACTGTCAACACCACGGAGAGTCCAGACCCAGATGCCGATGCCTGCAGTGGTCGAGCCTTTGACTCCTTCATGCAGCTCAAGAATGACTCAACTTACGCTTTCAGGGGCATTTGCTCCCTCCACTTGCTCAAGGTTTCTTTGCACGTTATGTTCCATTTCAGAACCTTTGTTCTGTGTAGCATCTGGCCATGGCAGAGCAAGCGTTGAAGACACTCTGTCTTTCAGGGAGTTTCTTCTTCGAGCTTGGTGAGAAAGCAGTACTGCCTGGCTACCCGAAACGCATCGAGGATGTATGGGGCATTTTCGGTCCCATTGATGCCGCCTTCACCCGTATCAACTGCCAGGGCAAGACCTACATCTTCTAGGTCTGTTGCGGTCCATGGTTGGGGAAACAAGATAAGCTATTTCCACCTCCACAGCAGTAATAACCACCACAGCACCTCATGTCCATGACAGGACTACTGTCTTATGAAATTCCGCAGGGGAACATGTACTGGAGGTTTGAGGACAATGTGTTGGATGAAGAATACCCAAGGAACATTTCTGATGGGTTCGAAAATATCCCGGACAACGTGGATGCCGCCTTTGCCGTCCCTGCAAAAAATCACCATGGCAAAGAGAAGGTGTACTTCTTCAAAGGTATGGTGTGCTCCAGATCGGTAAACCCATAAACCAGACACTCACATGCAGATGGTTATCTCCTAACCAGAGTGCTCTCTATCTGTCTCCAGGTGACCAGTACTACCAGTATGAATTCAAGCAGCAACCCACCCATGAAGAGTGTGTCAAGCTGAATGCAAGGTCTCCCTCCACCCTGTTTGGGAGCTACACTGCAATGTTCAGCAGCACTTGGGGAGGCGCCTCTTCCCGCCTCTTCAGTGGCAGTAAGAACCACAGTTTGTGTGCATGTCCCTGTCTGTTCAGACGGGACTCCCTGAAATATGTCCCCAAATGAAACCATGTGAGGCTTGTTGATGTAGTTATAGAAAAACTTACGAATCTGAAGTCCAAAGATGGACAGACTTTATATGAAACATGGGACGAGTAAGAAAGACGTGAAACACAACAGACAAGCCTTTATCTGTCCTCTTCCCCAGGGCAGGGGCTTGGTAGCGCCCCCCCTCTCATCACCAGGGACTGGCTGGGCGTCCAGGCCCCAGTGGATGCTGTTTCGGCAGGACGACTCTACGTCAGCCGTGGCCACAGAGGCAAAAGCAGAAGAAGGCAGAACACCAACCGCAAACAGGACTGGGTAAACCCATAAACAACAGGGCATCAACCATAGGGGCTGGGGCCAACGGGACTGGAGGCAACAGGACAGGGGGCAACAGGACTGGGGGCAACAGGACTGTGGGTAACAGGACTGGGGGCAGCAGGACTGGGGGCAGCAGGACAGGGGGCAGAGAAGCTGGCAGAAACGGTCACCCCAATGGAGCATGGATAAGTGGGATGTCAGTATGGGCCAGGGCTTCATGGAGAGGTTCTACAGAGAGGAGACCCGCAGGCAGGACTGGGATAGGGGCCGGGCCCTCGACTGGGCCCATCACCGCTGCATCAGTGGGCACCACCGGCAGCAGGAACACTACAATTCCAGATACAGCATAAATAACCGATTGGTGCAGAAGGTCTATTTCTTCAAGAAAGGTGTTGAGAGAATATTGTCCTGTGAAAGAAACATGTACAGACAGAAGCAACATACAAATGGCAAATAATTTTCTAGTCCTTTCATTCCTTTTATTAACAAATAACATGCGATAACAAGATTGACAGAAGAACCAGTTAATATTAGGTACTCGTATTCATCATGGTAACAACAGAATCTTTGCAGCAAGTATAATAATTGGCCATTACTATAGTGGATCAATCAATAAAAAATGTTTGGCTAAACTTCTGTAAAATGACAAAACCGCACCCCGAAAAAAAACTGAAGTGGCTACTGCAGCCAATTGGTCCTCCACATGTATTTTTACCTTAGTGTAACAAAACAGCAAGGGGAGATAATGACATTGTAGAGGAGACCTCAGCACTTTGCAGCCCAACGCTCATCTTTCTCACTAACACTACCTTCCGCTTCTCTTTTTGGCAGATCGATATTACAGAGTGGATTTACAGTCAATGATGGTTGACCTTGCATATCCCCCATACCCAAGATCCACAGCGAAATACTGGCTGGGCACCAAGGGCGGAGAAAAGGTGAAGACAGATTTCATTCAGATTTCAGAGAGAAAGCACACAGTCTGACCCCAATCATCAATGAATCAAAATAATTAAAAAGATGATATAACCAAATAATTTAATATTTCATAGCTAAATGTACAAATGAATAAAATCATTTTTTATTGATTTACTGTGGTGGCTAGTGAGCATATGGCCATAATCATGTGATCAAATCTGCCCAAACCTGGCAGCTTCCCATGATTGTCTTTAGGGGTGACGGCCAGCCTTCCTCCCTGGAAGCTGTTGCTCTTTTTCCACTCAATCAGAATCTGCTGCTCTGGATGACAAAAGAGGCCAGCGATTGTTTAACCCACAGGTGTCAAACTCTGGTCCTGGGGGGCCAGAGCCCTGCTGATTTTTGGTTTTCCCCTCATTTAACACACCTGATTCACCTCCTTGTGCTAATTACCACACAGCTCTTGAGCTGAATCATTTGCAGTGCAACAGGGAAAGAGCTAAGCTACACAGGGCTCCGGCCCCCTAGGAATGGAGTTTGACACCCCTGGTTTAGCAGGAGTCATTTCCCATTTATTCAGGAGCTCTTCTGGATGACTAAGACATTGAAAATGATGATCTTTTAGGCTGCAAGCCGTTATCACTGAAACATCACTGCACTTTTCAGCGGGTTGTGGCTCCTTTGCTCAGTGCCGAGATGGGCGGGGCACTCGGGAGCACCTTGTTGGGAGACCTCCAGGAGGGGGGCTCCGCAGGCCGACCCCGAAGGGCCCTGCTGTCCCTCAGAGCCAGGAAATGCTGAATGCGGCCCCTGCTCTCTGTCCCTGAGCTGGGTACACACAGCACACGTCGCGTTCAACATACATGTGCATAAACACACACGTCGCGTTAAACATACATGTGCATAAACACACGTGTGGCATTAAACATACATGTGCATAGACACATTACGTTAAACATACATGTGCATAAACACACACGTCGCGTTAAACATACATGTGCATAAACACACATCATGTTAAACATACATGTGCATAAACACACATCATGTTAAACATACATGTGCATAAACACACACGTCGCGTTAAACATACATGTGCATAAACACACATACTAAAAGCGAAGTACATATAACCTCCTAAAGGGTTGCTGCTGCTGGGGATTTTGTTATTGGGACCCAGCTGATATCCGGAGAGGCAATCTCACCGTCCATGAAGTCCTGCGCTCTGACTGGGAGGCTCACTCTGGATTTCAGTTTGGGCTGAATATTTCTCCCCAGAGGCAACAGCCTGCAGGGCCCGGAGAGGAGGCAGTGCCACCCGCTGGCAAAACGGAGATATGGCAGAGATGAAAGGTGCACCAAATCTTACAGCAGTCCTGACCAGTCGTGAAGGTCATTAAATACAAAGTATGTATTTCTCAGTCATTGGGAGGGAAAGTCCACTTTAACTACTTAATTACACAGGTATCACACAGGCTGGGGGGGTGTTATAAATGTTAGGGGCACAGGAGGGCATCGCACAGGCTGGGGGGGGGGTGTTATAAATGTTAGGGGCACAGGGGGGCATTGCACAGGCTGGGGGGGTGTTATAGATGTTAGGGGCCCACACACAGACACACACATAGATATCAATACATTTGTATTCATATCTTTATGGGGACTTTCCATTCATTTCTATGGGCAAAACCCTAATCCTAACCTCTACCCAGCCCTAACCTTAAACACAAGTAATACGGGACTTTTGGTATTTTAGTTCTTCAATTGCATTGACAGATTTTTATAACATTGAGTTTCCCATTGTGGGAACTGCAAAAATGTCCTCACAAGGTCAAAGTAACAGTTTTTTTTATCTATCTATCTATCTATCTATCTATCTATCTATCTATCTATCTATCTCTCTCTCTCTCTCTCTCTCTCTCTCTCACACACACACACACACACACACGCACGCACACGTAGGGTAAACATATCCTTATGGGGACTGCTCATTCATTTCAATGCACACATAGTACACACACACACACACACACACACACACACACACACACACACAGCGTCTACTTAAAAGCTGAATTTACCTGTTAAATTACATTGGGATAGCAGGCAGAATACTGATACTCTCAGAAACAGCACCTTAATCATTCTAGTAAAATGTCAAACAGTTTGGTGTCTAGGTGCTATGTTACCCAGATCATAACTGTAACACTCCTGTGTCCTGACATGCAGACACTCACTGCACGGCATCTGTGCAGGGGGCTGATGATGGCTAGCGGCAGCTGATGATGGACACACTGCAGGCTGCAGTGAGCAGCCCGCCCACACAGCGATGGACCCGAGCAGCTGCTGGTGGCGTGTGCGGTGCTCGATATGACCCTGCACATGCAACAGACACTTTTACAACATGTGGTTAGAGGTGTGACATAACAGATCACAGGTGTATCAGACCTTTGCAGTTCGTCCAGTTTGTGCAGCAACTGAGCATTCTCAAGTGACAGGAGCGCCCCCTGTTGCTTGGAGGACTGGATGCAGTTGAGCAGTGCTGCCTTTTCCTCTCTGTGGTGCATATGTTAAGTGATGGTTAGCGGTCTGATCGCAGTAAAACGGGTAGGAAACTGCATCAACATTTTTATTTGTACTAATGGGTGTTAGTGAAACACATGACATAATATGCTATTGGAAAAACGCTGATAAAGCAGATAAAATAACAGTGGCATATGGACACACTCACTGCAGTCTTCTGTTATCCTGCATGAGCTCCTGCAGCAGGTTTTTAAGACACACACTCGAGCAAGAGGACCCCTCTGCCACAGGGTCCGTTTCAACCTTCCCTAGCGGCTCACTACCGCCATCTACAGGTGGGAGGAGTCTTTAATGAATTAATTGCACAATTTCACAAAAAAAAGAAGAAAAAAAGAAACATACAGCAGGCAGAAATGGGTACAGAAGATCTTCTGGCCGATTCTTCTGCTGAGGAAAGATGTTGTCGAAGAAGCATGTTCTCACTGCGCAGCAAACGGATCTCTCCCTGCAGGCTGACCACCAGCTTCTCGCGTAGGACCTGGGAGAGTACAGATGCACGCAAAGCACAGGGGAGGCACATAGCCATGTGTGACTCTATGCACTTTGCATGCCCACAGAAGGGAAACGCCGGCCCTCTCTCACGTGTTTGGCTATCGGTCTGTTTTTGATTCTCTTGGCTCGGCTGGAAAAACGCAACGTATTCAGGGTCTCCTGAAGGTTGGCTGTGGCGGGGGACACACAGGCGATCTGTGGGGGAAAAAACTGGGCCATCAGACTGAGCATAAAGCAAGGAGCAAGAGTCCTGTGAAGTGTGCCCACTTGGCAAGCTTGCCAACCATGAGCGTGATGCCTGCTCCACCCAGGGAATCAGAGAGCAGCTTGGTGAGCTTGCTGTCACGGTACGGAATGTGCCCGCTCTTCTTCCTAGGGTCCACTAGTGCAGATATGCACTTGCCTGCGTAGAGAGAGAAAGCGGACACAGGGAAGGTCATGAAGCACCTAGAAGATCCTGTTTTGCTTTCGGAGACAGATGCAGCTGACACCTACCCAAAGACAAGAGACTTCGGTTGATGTTGGCAGCCTCTTCCAGGAGATCTTCTGTGGAGCTGGGCCCCCTCAACCGTTCACTTCCTGCTAGGTCCACTAGGCACAGTTTCCCCTGGGTGGCCGTGCCTTCATTCGCATTAGCCTAAGAAAGAAGATGTAGAGGATGTTCACTCTACCCAAGATGGCCCCCCATTGAAGCAGAGATGGGTCCTTAAAGAGTGCAGCAGGAGTAGCACAGGAATGCGTGGAGGGTAGAAAGACAGGCGTCTCACCGCTTCAGCTCTGATGGAGACCGTCAGGATGGAGTGGCTGCGGCTGGAGTGCTCATTCTGGGCCTGCGAGGATGTGCGTCTGCTCCTCAAGCCTGGAGCAATGTGTGCGGAGGCAAGGCAGTCGGCAAACCGGAAAAACCCACAGAGACACGTCCAGATAACTTGCTCGCACCTGCCTCCAGGAGCTTCATAAAGTCCTCCAGAGAGCCAAGTTCAACAGTGGACAAGTTCTCCACATAAAAGCCGTGAGTTTGGTTTCCGCGGACAGACAAGGAGGACGTCAACCAGGGAGTGAGGAGATCCCGGACCTGCAGGGGCATAAACTAGACTGGAGAACATAATCACCATGTATAAAAGCCTAAAGAATCATACACTACAATTATTCTGTTCCCGAGGGTGTTTTGTAAGGACCAAGTATATAAATTTCTGCTGAACTTTTTCACATATAGAGTAAAATACTGTCATATGGTGCAAGAGCCAGGCCAAATGACCACCTGCTCATTATAGATCTCCAGGTAAGAGGCACTCAAGGAGACGTCGCCATCCATCGATTGGGTTTGGTCAAGAAGATAAGACACCGACCTCTGCATCAAGCCATACATTTGAGGTTCCTGTGAGCTTCCTAGGAACTAGGGGAAAAACATTGGTTGAAGGTTCAATCTAAAAATGGACAGTTTTCCATTTCAAACCAACCAAGGAGATACCTTCACACTTTACACAGCTTTCACTTAGGGTGTTTTTCCACTGCACCAGGTACCAAACTTTTGGTAGTTTGAGAAAGTACTGAAAGTTTGGTACTTCAAGGTGTTGGTTTTCCACTGGTGTAAAAACTGGTACCGGCACCAAATGACATCATAGTGTAAGGTGCCATATTTTGTACTGAATTCAAAAAATGGCTGTAGTATTTTATAGGGCTTAGCGATGTGCAATATTAATAGCAATATTGCATGTTATGTACACCCAATTCTTACATTGCTAGTTAGCTATATTAAAATAAGGCTTTTTCTTACTTTTCTTTACTCTGCCATAGGGGAAAAAAAACATGGCAAGCATTGCAATTTTAATTATTATTCCTTTTATAGATTCTTATATGTTTAAAAATCAGTTTAAAGTTACATTCTCTGAGACAATCGTAATCGTTTTCATTCTTACCGTCTAAATCACTTGAAGACAAGTTTGTGAGAAATTCATGAACTCCTTTTTTGTTTTATAAATACCCCAATATTTATTACAACTAAATCACATGTGTTTCACTGAATTCATAACTGTTTTCAAGACGTTGGTTGTATTGTGTTTCAGAGGCAGGCTATTTGCATAAGCAATCAACAAACAAAGCGTTTGAAATCCCAGCCAAAGTACCAAAGTAGTGCCCCATTTGCCGTGTTTGGTACTGGTACTCGACCGGAAGTCAATAGAAAAGCGAAAATACCAAAAGCATCGTACTTGGTGCGGTGGAAAAGTGCCCTTAAATGGCTTGATTACAAATATAAAACCGTTTCAAATATAAACTTTCTAAGGCTGAAAGCAGCTGATAAGCAGATGAATAGGGTCTTACCAGTGAATGTGGTCCTGTGATTGTGTAGGTCTTCCCGGAGCCTGTCTGTCCGAAAGCAAACACCGTACATGAGAACCTGTCAGAAACCAATGAAAATCAGGGAGGAGACCAACGACATCATGGGACACCACCCGATGTGCTGGGGTGCTCGCGTGAGCCGTATTCACCCCACAATGGCCATGTCGATCAGCTTCTTCATGCCACATTCCTCAAACACGTCCTGCTGGGAGCTCTGTGGCCCCAGGACCACGTCAAACGAGAAGGCCTTCTCACGGCCTCCATGACAAACCTAGGAGAAGAGCGAGGATGAGAAGAGATCAGCAGACAGGAGCCCCCCGGCACACTCACAGCCACAGTTACTACAGTGACGCTGTATTATGGGCTGTACTCACTATGCAGCGCCCAGCAAAACTATTGAACCAGATTTGCCTCAGTTAAAAGTGATGCATACATATATCAGTTTTATTAACTTTGGTCAGCTGGTGTGAGATTTTCAATTCAAGGCAAGTCTGCACACTCATTATTACCTTGTAAATAATCTGTACACTTTTGATGTAACTAATTTTAGGTTTATAATGGAATTATATAGATTTGCCGTAAGATATCTTGCGTGAGCGTGAAATTCTGAAAGCACGAGTATCACGTCAGATGCCCGAGTTGGCAGCCCTGCATATTCCTCCCGTCAGTATTTTTTATTGCAAACTCAATCTCTCACAGTAAATTTTCAGTCAAATCAGTTATTTGCTCCCTATTTTGTTGTATGGCTGTGAGACATGGACGCTATCCAGTGACCTGAGGCGAAGACTGATACCGTGTGTCTTCAGAGAGTGCTTGGGTTTGATTTAGTCTTGAACAAGCGGCTGCTGAGAGAGACACAAAAGAGGTGAAATAGCTGCACTGTGGGGCAGCATCAGTTACGGCACTACGGCCATGTGGCGCGTTTCCCTGAGGGTGATCCGGCTCGCAGGATCCTCGTTGCTGAGGACCCGAGCGGCTGGACCAGAACGAGGCGACGCCCAAGTTACACCTAGCAGTGGCAGATTGATGGGCTTTTCTGGAGGGTGGGACGGGACTGTGTGTTTGCCTGCGGGAGATCATCAACCGGGATCCTGAATTGTTTTGTCATGTGGTGGGTATGGCAACGTGCTGTACCAATGCAGGCTCCCCAGCCTGACCTGACAAACCTGACATAATTATTTAGCCCCTGTGCCTTGGAAGCGCCATATAAAAAAGTAGAAAAACACAGAAAGAAAACATTGCCTTACTGAGGACACAATTGTCTTACAGTTAACCCCTGCAAGACTGACAATGCGAGGGAAGGGAGTGGAAATGAAGACTGAGGAGCATTATAAAGAAGTTAGAAATGAATTAATTGAACTGGATGCATTTAGAATAGGCTACAAAAAATATCCCTGAGATTGGACATCCCAGTAAGCACTGCTGGGTCAATACCGAGAAAGTGGGAGCTACGTCAAACCTGCCATCCCTCAAAACACAGCAAAGAGACAAAGAGGAGACTGGGGAGCAAAGCCAGAGTGAGAACAACAGAGATACAGAGTTCAGTGGCTGAGGGTGGAGTGAAGCTGCACCAGTCAACCATGTCAAGAGCATACTGCATACTGCAGCAGTGATACTGCATACTGTAGCAGTGCGTACTGCATACTGCAGACGTGATACTGCATACTGTAGCAGTGCGTACTGCATACTGCAGCAGTGCGTACTGCATACTGCAGAAGTGCAACTGCATACTGTAGCAGTGCGTACTGCATACTGCAGCAGTGCATACTGCAGCAGTGCATACTGCATGCTGTAGCAGTGCGTACTGCATACTGCAGCAGTGCATACTGCATACTGCTGGCCTGTGTGGGAAGGAACCTAGAATGAAGACCTCAGTCCGAAGAGCTACATGAAAGCATGTCTAGAGTTGGCCAGAAAGTATGAGAATGACCCAGCTAACATATCAGTCAAGGCTTTGCGGTCTGATGAGGCCAAGAGAGATTTTTGGCCAAAAATCAAAGCACAATGTGTGGCCATCCCCACAGAGAAGTTTGGCGGTGACAGCGTCATGCTATGGGGACAATTTTCAGCTTCGGGAGCTGGGCATTTTCTTAAAATCAACGGGAGAGAAAAACATGCTTCAGTCTGAAACTGAAACATGGGAAGAAGTTAATATTTCAGCAGGTCAATGATCCTAAGCTGAAGGCCAAAGCAATACAGGAGTAATTAAAAAACAAAAGGTGAATGATGCCAAGTCAAAGTCCAGGTCTACATCCCATTGAGATCTTGTGGCTTTCTTTAGAAAACGCAGTCAAGTGACATCCAACCAAGCCGAGGGACCTGGGGCAAGTCTGCCATGAAGAACAGGCAAAAATCACTCTGTAACCATGTAAAAAGCTGGGAGCTACTTACCCCAAAACACTTACTGCTGTTATTATAGTAAAAGGTGGCTATATCAAGTAAAGATACTCCTCAGAATCTGATGGGGTTACGTTTGTAAGTCGTATATGAATGTGATAATAAAGGCGTAAATAACTGCTGTCACCGAATATGTAAAAAACACACCGTATGACACATTGTTTAACAGTGTAGGAGATGTTTATGGTCGGTAAAGCCACAGAAACCGGAAGCGTGGCTGGGCGGATGCTGCCTTTGCCCAGTATCAGCAGAAAGTATCACAGTCAGATAAACCATTTTAAAGTGAGAAGCATCTGTATTGATGTACAATGCAAGCAGCATCTCTCAGGTTTTGATATTCTTCAAAAGATTTGCTGACAATTGATTTTAACTTTTGAATATGCACTGTGACAAACTATGAGCTTGCAATAAACATACTGACAGGAGGAATATGTCAATCTATCAGTCATGTAATTCAGGCAAATTTGATCATTTTTGATGGAGGTTCAATACAAAGCACTGTATGTATAGGAAGCACAGGGCTAAGGCAGGTAGAGCTTGGACAGGGTGCCAGTCCATCTCACAGCATATACACGCATTCACACACGCACTCACAATGGACAATCTGCACCTCACTGGCCACGGCACGACAGCAGAGTACTCAAAGGGAGCCCACACAACAGGCAGAGAACACACACATGCCATACAGATAAAAATCCTGGAGGCAACAAGCAAACCCACACGGCCTCCTGGATGCCACTGGAAAAAAAATAATTTCGATTTGTACCAGCAGGTGGCGCTGGTCTGGACAGTACATGGTGCCCTGCTCTCCTCTGGCATCTTCTTGCTCACTCGTAGGTCTCACCCTGGGTGATGTGGGGGGGGGGGAATAGAAAATGGCTTACACATTTTATGGAGGTTATCCATCTAAAATTCCTGGGGGCTTCTATTCACATAATATTTTATATTATATTCAGACAACTGAAACTGGCTGTAGGGAAAAAGAAGCAAAATGGCATTGGAAGAAAAAAAAAATTCATTTCTAATTCTGTTGGTTTTGTGATTTTGTGCAGTATGGTAAGAATGAGATGTATAATTATGGCAGAGTACAGAGTGAAAGTTACCTGGCTGCCACAATCACTCTGGTCTCATCCTGTGGTCCCATCTGGCCCAGTACCCACTGGGAAACCGGAAACGGGAGATTCAGCTCATTCATAGCCCAAGTAAAGAAAGTTTGTATCACCAGCAAAGATTATTCGCTATTCAAAGCTCTGCTCAGTGTTACCACTCAGGGATTCTCATGCTGTGAAATCAAATATCATTCAGTAGAACCTCAATAGACTCTAACGGAGAGGCAGAGTATGACTGAATGTTCACAGAACGCAAGAGAATAATGTCACAGGCACTTACAGTGTGCACAGAAAGACTAGGGGCGCTTTCTTAATTCTGTAAAAATATTGCAAATGTATTGGTTTCATAACATAAGTCCATTGACCAGCCATGTTTAACATATCGGCACATAAATTCTGCACGGACATGTTTTTAAGTGTCATATTTATTCTTGATTTTTTTTATTTTTGACCGAGTCAGTTTTATTCCTGGCATTTCGCTATTAATTGTAACTATTAATTGCAATCCAAAGCGATACTAAACACAAATGTTTGACATTTCAAGTTACTTTCAAAAATGTTACTAATTAAAAAGCACCCAATGAGACTACTTGTCAATAAAAATTTTAACTCCAAACAAGTCTTTAAGAACTATAATTTGGGTTTCATTTTATTACTACATGGACTTATTTTTTCCCTCAAACTACTAGTTGTTAGTTGTTTGTAATGTGATATATATATATATATTTTGTTAGATGAATAATTTTTAATGAAACCAATAAATATGCAATACATTTTACTGAATTATGGAAGTGTCCCAAGACATTGTGTGCACTGCAAATTCAGCAAAGTCTCTAGGGGGGACCGGTGTGTGCAGTGAGATCTGAGCACGCAGCTGTAAATCTTGGGCATATTTACAGATACAACCATGGGTGTAAATTTTTTACCCCCCAATAATCAGGTCTCCCCCTAAAGGGGTGGAGACCTAAACCCCTCCAATGTTCAAACAAAAGTAACGCTGTTGGATACAATGACCGAAGATCATATACCTGCCGAACAATGGCTGGCGTGAGCGGAATGCAGAAGATGACCAAGTCTTACCAGCCGGCGCTGTGGTCAAACACCAGGCATGAAATGATACTGGTGATACTGGTCTGTTCCTCCCGCACTCCAGGCTGGTAAAATTTCCTTCTGCAACGTTCTTAACCCTTACGGCTTATATCAGGCCAATCCTGGCAGACAAAAGGGCTCATTCTGTCACCGTGTCTGAAGGACCAGGTTCAGGGCTCCTACACAAAAGGGCTGCGCGACAGAGTAACGACGGCTTAGAAACGGAAGGGGTTAACAGGCACCCGCCCCCTGCCTCTTCCAGGGTCAACGACGGGGCATTTCACCTTGGCGAGAGCTTACTACATCACTTATTATTGACACAGGTGCAGAAGCACATTCCAAAGAACTGACTGGAACAGCAGATACCAAACAACTATTTATTTATATATACAGTATATTAAAAAATGCAAGTCTAAAGGCAAGACCAAAAATTTCTAAAATGGTCATTCACTGTCGTCTACAAAATGCCTGACTATCTGCCTGCGGGTGCGTGACCCACTTTTACATCTTATTGTTGATCCAAGTTAAAACACACAATTTCACTGTACCTGGTTACAGAGAATAAAGGCTTCACCTGCCTCAGAAGCTATAGGAGAGTAATTGGCTTCACTGGAGGAAATGCAGGACTGCAACCTCGCTCTCATTCTTAATTTAGCATGTTGTGGTCAAACTTAAAGCAAATCCATGGCATAGCAAAAACATTCTTAATAACTCAAAGTGTATTTAAAATTACACAAAATAAAGCCTAACTTGTCTAACAAATGTTCTCTAGCTATCACATAATAAGCATATTCATCCCCACAGCAGGAAATGTAACTGCATTTGCCATTGCAGAGGACTCCTCCCTTAAAGAAAACAAAAGCTAACAGTCCGGCCCTCGGGGACTCATAGACAGTCCACGTTTTTGTGCCAAGTTTCGAGGATGCAAAAATGTGGACTGTCTGGCAGGGAGCTCGGGGGGAGCAAAAACGTGGGTCCCCGAGGACCAGATTGAGAAACACCAGTTTAGAATTTAACATGGCAGACAAAAAATGGGGAGGGGGCCTGGATGTAGGCACCCACGTGAAGGAGACTAGCGAAGATTCTCAGAGCGTCAGTGTCAGACCAACCTCATCACATGGCCTTAATGAATGTAAACGTAGTCAGTGTGTTCAGAGCAAAGGCTGGCACGCATGCGGCCTCACGAGGACCTCGGCGCCACGTTCTCGTAGTGCGGGTCCTCGCTGGCGTCCGTGTCCTCATCCTGGGCGCTAGTGGGCTCCGCCGCAGCCCCGATGGTGAGGTAGCCAGTGTCACTGGTGTCGGCCGCCGCGGGGCTTTCCCGCACGCTCACCAGGATGGTGGACGCGGGCCTCTCAGCCGGACCGCCCTCCCGCCAGGTGGCACTGGAGCCCACGGCCGCAGGCGAGCTGAGGGGAGCACGCCTCCGCCTGCTCGGCTTCCGCACAGCTGCCTCTCGGCTGGCACCCCCTCTCTCGGCAGCCTCTTCCCACATGGTGACCCGGGCCCCCAGCTTTCGGCGTGGAGGCTTATAGACGGCCCCCCTCGGCTTCTGAAGGCTTCCCAGGCGCCGCAGCACGGCCTGGACCGGGCCCTCCACTGCTGGCTCCGGCTCCACCTTCCCCGGGTGGCCGGCCGCGCCCGCCATCACGTACACGGTGCTGATCCGGTCTGGGTCCGAGGCCGTGGGCTCCGCGGAGCCCTGCGCTTGGACACGTTGCCGCGCGCTGGACCCGGTTCGCCGCCTGCTGCTGCGGGGGGGGGCACTTTCTAGGTCCCTCACCTCGCTGTCCACAGACGTCTCCTCCGAGGGGACGGACTGCATATCCTCGCCGTCCCCCGCCACCCCCTCTCCCCCCCGCGCACCTGGAGGCTGCAGGACAGACAGCATAAGAACCCCCCAGGGAGACTTGGACTTGCGGGGAGCGACGGCGCCCTCCTGCGATGAGCCGCGACGCTCCTTCGTTGTGAACTTGGTGCCCTCGGCGAAGGAGACAGACGGGCGCTTGGCTTTGGCGATGCTGGAGGTGCGGGGGATGGAGAAGGCTGAGGCCACGTCCTCGCCGCTGAACCCCGACGGGTCCAGGAACATGTTGCACTTGGAGCTCATCTCCTGGAACTCGCCCCCCTCAACTGGAGAGATGTCTAACCGGAAGACAGAGAGACATGGCTTGTCAACGCCGAGAAGGAGGTGGGGGTGCAGCTGCGTGGGAAGAGGAGCGAGTCGAGTATAGGAGGGGAGACTGAGAACAGGGAGAGAGAGAGTGTGTATCAGAATGAGAGGGAGCAGAAAAAGAGGGAGCAGGAGGAGAGAGGGAGCAGAGAGAGAGAGAGAGAGAGAGAGAGAGAGAGAGCATACAGAGAGAAGAAGGAGAGAGGGAGCAGAGAGATAGAGAGAGGGAGCATACAGAGAGAAGAAGGAGAGAGGGAGCAGAGAGATAGAGAGAGGGAGCATACAGAGAGAAAAAGGAGAGAGGGAGCAGAGAGATAGAGAGAGGGAGCATACAGAGAGAAAAAGGAGAGAGGGAGCAGAGAGATAGAAAATAAAGCAGCA